AAAATTCTTTGCTACTTTGACAAATCATATTGATTTTGCTTGACTATTTCGACAAACCAACATCTACAGAATATGTATAATTTTTCACCGAAAAAATAAAACGAATTCAGCCTTGTTAAATTTCAATAACTAGGTTACACTTATTAGATTGTCGGTCAGACGATAGCTAGCCGTTTAAGTATCAAACTAATTTCAGTATAACACATACGAGAAGTCATTATCAATGTTGTATTCAGTTTATCCACTTCTGTTCGAGGAACAAGTGACGGGTCTCTTTGAGAATGACTAAATTGAAAGTTTTCGCTTAGTGAAAAGAAGCATTACGTTTACATAGTTAATCAATAAACAAAATTCAACATTCATAATAGTCCAACCAACAGTAACATCAAAGTCTTCAGGTGTATAGAATAGTTTTAGTGGTATTTATGTAAACGAAATCAAGCAGAAATATGGTCTATGCAATCAATATAGGAAGTTGTGGGTCCACATTTTTTGTAGATCCAGAGTATATAGTACAATAATGATCATTATCTTACTCTCTGTGATCAGCACTGATGATTACAGTTGCAATTCTTTTTTTTTTCTCATGAGTTATTCGACGAATGACATTCAGAAAGTGTAAAGTCTAATAGAACAGAATTATTGATAGCAGTGTCTGACATAAATCAAACTTTTTTCTTTTATATATTTTATTGTTGAAGACAAAGACTATGTCCTTGATATTTCAGCGATATTCCGCACTCAGGACAATATGATTATGAGTTGGACACTAACGAATACTTTTTGTTTTTTACTATAAAATCATATTTATCTGTCGACAATGGAAAACTTATTCATATGAAAAAAAAAAAAACTTACATCGTTTGTTTGTTTTTCTTCGTCAGGGATATCGTATCAAACCAGAAATTGGTGATATTCTTAAAAGTAAACTCAATATAAATCTTCATCAAACAATCAATTTAACATTAGATTTATTATCAGATACTTTTATGAATGTATCTTCTATTTATTTAAATACTCTTTCTTCTATATTTCATAAAGAATTAATTAATCGAAAAGAAATTTTATTAAATATTTGTCCTTATACTTGTAATCAACCATTATCATCTCATGCCATAAAATCTCTTCAACCTTATTTAAAACAAACTAAACAAAAAATTTTAAATCAAAATATTGTTTATATTGCTTGGTTTGTTTCTAATTGTAATACTCATTCACGTCGTGAAGATTATGTAAATAAATTACGTTCACAAAAAAATATTCATATTGATATATATGGTAATTGTAAATCCATTTATCATTCACCAATTTTATCAATTCAATGTCAAAAAGGTACATCAAATTGTATGAAAAATATATTATTAAATTATCGTTTTTATTTATCATTTGAAAATTCAAAATGTGATACATATATTACAGAAAAATATTGGATACAAGGTTTAAATGGACATGCTGTACCGATTGTATTAGGTGCTAAAAAAGAACAATATCAACGTATAGCTATACCAAATTCATATATACATGTTGATGATTTTCAAACAATAGAAGATCTTGCTAAAGAATTGCATCGTTTAAATAAAAATTATTCTGAGTATTCCAAATATCTTCAATGGACACAATTATATGATATTTCAATTCATTATAGACCAACATCAATAATTGATATGCATTCAACACTTTGTTTTCTTGGTCATTATCAATATTTACATTCTATCAAAGAAAAAAATCAACATGTTTTATATTTAATGAATATTATAAGAAAGATATTCAATATAACAAATATGCGTTTGCCAAATTTTAATTGGACTATAGCGAAAACGAATTTAATACGTATTAGTCAATTTTATAATCCAAATGTAAATTGTTGGGATAATAATTATCCATCAATATTTAAACAAATTTATAATTATTTATTTACATGGTGGAAATTGTTTTAATACTTTGTTATTGTTAAACATATAATTTGATGTAAATAAAAAAAGTTAACTCCATATTTTGTTCATATAATTTTCTTTCTTGTTAAAAATCAAACTAACAAGGAAATCAGAGTCGTGCAAGCCTAATAGGATTTTTCAAGTCTCGCGATTGTCCTACAAAGTTCTAGTTTGATATAAATTAAGGCTTGATCATCAAAAAAGTAAAAATTAAGGTAGATGTATGGCAAGATAGTCGAAGTTCGGTTCTTTCGAAAATAATACAAATTTTTTTATTGAGCACTAAAAACTTTCGATGATTTCCATCATCCTATGCTGAAAAAAATAGTAGTTTTGCGTTTTTTCTCTGTGTATGCTTCTTTCATTGAACTTGTAGTTCCTTTTTTTCGCTTAAAAAGAATGAGAAAAAAAAGAGCTTTATGTTGCACGGTATCCTGAAATGTTCTTTCTAACAAAAAAGAAATAAATATATAGAATGAGTCTGGATAGAGAATTTTTTTGTTGTCAAATGACCTATTTTTGGCTCTTGTCTGGCGGATACGGAAGACTAGGGTATGAGATAGGAAAAAGCTTTATCCTGCAGCACTCTAATACAGTGTTGCAATAAGCAAAAACAAAGCCACTTCACAACACTTATCTCGCTTTTCTCAACATATAATCTAATTTGAAAAAAAACCATGGTTATATTCTTGAACTGCCTAGAAGAAGTTTTTATTTTTCTGAAAACTGGTGAAGAATAATGTAATATAGATATCGAATTATATATTGCAGATAATGTTTTTTTGGAGTGTAGTGTGACTTTTAGGACACCCTGTATATATCCTTCATGTGAAAATAGAGGTTTGTAATTCAGTCAAGTTGGAAGACTCTTCTCATTTATCATTACAAATCTCTTTCACGTATTTTTCTTTATCATTCTGTACACAATACGAGAGTGCGATATCCAGTAACATTAAATATTTTTTGTTTCTTTCACTTTTTCTTCTCGTCATTGATGTGGTGTTCTGCCGACTAACTGCATCAAACGTAACTCTTAGACTTGCGTTGACTCATGTCAATAAGAATACAAAAAGGTAGATTCATTATGCATTTTGTCACATAAGTCGACACTACCCAAAGAGTACTGCATCATGCTGTTATCGTTATGTACATTACATTAGTTATAAGAAGGAGAGATGAAAAAGAAAATTTATATTTGATTTCGCTATGTGCAGAATAATCACAGAAAATAAAGAGAAGGTATTCTCGACGGTAGGATTGAAGAATTATTCTGCAATGTAGAAACAGCGTAGAATAGTAAATAAAAAAAAAGGATTTGTGAAAGTGCAATCTGTAGTAAATCCTTGCGAAGGATATATTCAAGAGTATTTCACATATATAAATCACTAAAGAATATATTGTATATTGCACTGTCGTAAACGTTTTGAAAAGGCTTATAAGTCTCATATACGGTCTTTTTTATTCATGAGTTCTTCACATCACTACAAAGAATTGAATCGATTATATAATTAACCTATACGAGGTAATGCTCATGCTAGACGTCAAAATAACTCTTTCTGATGAGTGATAAGATGATCTACACTTTGGGGTAAAAAGATAAACGCTGTGTGTTAAATTAATTTTTGAATTTGAAGATATTCTATTATACCACTACTACTATATTATATTCATTTTACTTGTTCCATGTGCGACCGCATTGACTGTTTTCTCTCTCTTGTATCTACGTGGATTAATGCTAATTTGTCATTCATTTGTTGCTTCAGCTACGTCTCCTCGTTACTTTCAACAACCATTGTGGTTCATTCCTGGATGCGTTTCCATTATCTGGCCGTAGTTTTTGTTTATTGGTCTTGGCTTTGGTTGACTTCAGCAACATTGGCTGCTAACTTCTTTTGCTCCACTTCGGGTGTGCCTCAAGTTCTCTTGGCAAATGGTCCAACTATTTCGTCGAACTTTTCTTATCTGGCAACCATCGCTACGGATGTGTTTTTTCAGATGTCATTCCAATTCACCTCTACGGTTCAGATTACTGCACTTGTCATGTTTGCCCGACAGAATAACGTCTCTCTCACTGCCAGAGCTGCTCTCTAGGATGCTGCATCTACGCTCATCGCACAGACGGCAACAATTACCATTTCCGCTGTTGAATTCCCGAATGTGAAACCTAAGTCCTGGACCTTACCATTCGATCAATCAGTTAATTTGACAGCCGGTATTAGCTACAGTGTCGCCTATTGGTATGCTGGTTATGTTGCTCTGTTCGCCACTAATCCTGCTCATGCGACATGGATTACTCCAACTGCTAACTTTTCTACGGTAAATGGATCATTTCCTAGTCTTCTAGCTGCATCTTATGCTTACGGTGTTGGTACTACTGCTCCATTCGTTCAATTAATTGGATTATTATGCATCAACACAGTTCCTGCTACCCCTATTCATCTCAACAAAACGATACTCTCCATATTACAAGAAATTCAACACAAATATATTGGCGTGCCAGCCATTGGTGTCTCAATCATTCAAATACCTTCATTGGAATCTTACACAGGTGCTCAGTCACCTCCAAATGTGATCTGTCTATTTATTCCCGTATCAACCGTGGTATCTGGTGTTCGTCGCGCTGATGCAGTGATTCCAGAGGTAGTAACAGTCAACGATAAATGGCACCTCGGATCAGACACCAAGTCGATGACGGCCATCTTCATTCAAATGTTAATTCAAGCAGGTAAACTAAATCTTACCACCACTGTCGGGCAGTTCTTCCATTATTTAGCATTCTCTTCCACTTCAACACCACCGTCAACTTCATATACCTGCGCTAATCTTTCTAATGCTATTGGCTACTTCGCTAAATCTCCCTATTCTTGTGGTTTGGCCATTCATAACTCATGGAAAAATGTTACTATCGCTCATTTATTGACTCACGCCTCTGGTGTTGACGCGTTGGACACGGTATTCGCTGCATTCTACGCTGAAGAATTGGCATTAGAAAGAAATGGTACCAAGGAATCTTGTAGCAACTATTCTTTGCCCTCACGTCGCTATCATTTAAGTTTCTTATTATCGATGGCCATTCCCAAAGCGCCACCGTCAATTCATGTTCCTGTAGCTTATTCGTATTCGAACAATAATTTCATTTTATTGGGATTAATATTAGAAGAAATCTGGTATTTACAATGGGAATCGATTATTCAACGTCAATTATTTGATCCTTTGGGAATGATCACAGCAGGATTTGGTTCACCAATTCAACAGATACCATTGAATTCATTTGCTACTCAACCATTAGGTCTATACATGGATACAACCGGTGTGATACATAGTATTGATTTTGATAATCCGGAGACTTGAGGGGCCTGCAGGTACGGTTCACGCGAGCCTTAATGATTGGGCTAAATTCATTGCCTGTCATTTACAAGAAGGACGTGACCTAACGTCATTCGGCTTTGCTCCAATGAATAATAGCTTTCTCAATTCAGCAATCTCACCCTATTTACTCTATGCATCCATGTGGCAAAGCATTCATAGCGCATATGTTTTTCCCTTAGCTTCTACTCCCAATTCTTAAGACTCACTCTCTGGAATGATTACTAGCAAGGATAATCTTGGTCTATCTCTATGGCACACTGGCAGCAATACCCTTTGGTACGCTTATGTCGTAGTTTATCCTCGATTGGTTCAACCAATGGCTCTTTTAGTTACAGCGAATGCCGCTAATAACGACGCGGTTTGGGAAGCTAAGGCAGCTATTGTCAATATTTATCTAGCTTGGCGACAACAAGGACAACCATCTGCAATAGCTAACTCAGACACTCCGTCACCTGAAACACTTAGTTCTAGCCTCGCTCTCATTTTCGTCTGCATTCACTTCATCTGCTAGTCTGTACACGATGATTTTAAAAACTATGTGTTAATTCCCGAATGTTACACATAACTGACTACCTCTACTACAATCAGGGTGCGGGTGTGGATCTTCTCTAGATCCACACTTTTATACATATCCACATCCTATCTTGGTATTTTTCTTTGGGTACAACAAGAGATGTGAGGGTTGATCTCAAACGATATAAAAAATAATAGATTGTTATATATATTGAAGATGTCTTATGAATAGAATTGATATCGACAAGTAAGAAGTTCTTTACGAGTCCGTGCAATGAATTTAGAAACAATTTATTTCCAAGATCTAAGATGTTCGAATTTCTAAAACTCTGAGTATAGTCACAAAATATTTGAGATTGAAAGTCATTCGCTAAGAGACTCATCAGAGTGATGGAGTATGATGAAAGTTATCTCTTATTAATCATAATTTCTAGGGATGATTGGTTCATGAAACCAACAATCTTCCATGTCGATAATGATAGTTTCCACTATAGATAGCCTTCAAAAACCTATAGCCAAATCGAAGTGGCCCGATTGTTTACTGTCACTAATTAATTCGAGTTGAAGTTTTTTTTCTAACTTCATGAGAAATTTTTACACTACGTCAATATTCGAAATAGTTTGAGCTTAGGCAAAGAATCCATTATTAATCTTTGCTATTAATATTTATTCAAAAAACTTGTGCTGTTCCGATTGTCATTTTTAATCATCAGTACAAACCTCAAGTTGTGCCGAAATCAAAATTCAAAGTTTTATTCTGAAAAAGTAAATTACCTATCATTTTTTGTTATAAACATAATGAAGTTTTTTTCATTGTTTGGTCTTTAACATTCGAAGAGTTGTGTGTTTTCGTAACTGAAAACCAGTGCATTCTGCTGTATTTATTGTGATGGTATTGAATACCTTTGACTTTGTTGTTTCGATTAATAACCATTCGTATGATCTTTAATGCTAAAAATTTGATCTAACTACTTAAAAGAAAACTGATGCAATTTAGTAACAAAACAATCTCTATAATCAAGCCAAAAATTCATCATAGGTTTTCGATGATATTGCATATTCAGGTGATGATAGAATAGTCCAATGCTAGCGGTTCATGTTAGATGGATCATCATGCATTTACTTATAAAGCACATGAAATTCGTTTACATCATATCCAAATGACGAGACAGATTGACTTCAGCATTGTTTACATTGTCGAGCCAATCAATATTCATGTGTTAAAATTTTCAATGGAACATTATTCGATAAAGTATCTCTCCTTTAAACACACTTCTGTTCATTAAAAATATATAATGTGTGATTACTGAGCTATTAGAATAAACTCTGTTTTAGTTTTCATCAGATTTTGTTAGGCTAAACAGAAAGGTAAAAGTTATACACGAGGATAGTATGAATGAAGAGTGAACTATTTAAAAATGAAAGAGTATAAGTTTAATTGTTTATTCATTCTTAAATGACTGTTAATATGATAAGCAAAAACTCGATTCGTAATTGATTATTGATCATAATAACAATGCATTTTTAGCATTGAGATTCAGGTGATTGTCGATGGTCTCTTCGTTGAAAGCACCATCCCTTCGTTTGTAACCGTTAACGAAGCACCGGACAGCTTTCTGAGAATGCATACAAACCACCCAAAAAGAGTACACATTCTAAGATCATCAAAGAATAGGCTTGAAAGCAGTCTAATTTGCCATACTGCCCACACAAGTTATTGTGTTTGACAGCCAAAGTAACAATAATCAAAGCACCAGCCAATGTTATAAAAGTACTGAAAAAAAGTGCCCGTGGTAGTTGCTTGTAATGTATACGTTGATTTTCGTTTGATTGTTGCGAATTGAGTTGTGCACTAGTACTAGGTGATAAGCGATTCTGAGTAAGTTACTCGGCAATCACAGATGACTTTGTGGTTGCAGACAAAGCATCCATTTGTTGATTACTTGTTGTTAATTGAACAGCTGTGTAAAGAGATGATGGTGAACCAACGTCGGCGTTGAACTTAGGTGCTTGAAGAGAAGATGATGAAAAATTTTCTGAATTCATTAGAATGTCGCGTGTGTATGTATAACGTTAATATTGAAGAGAAGCTAAATTTATAAGGATTTATCTATTCATAAATGTTTGAAGAAAAGTTGACGTCAATCGTTATCTTCCATCTGAAGATAAAAGAATAATGTGAATGTCATCGAAGTTGTAAATGTCAAAATAATTTCTTATAACAATGAGTGACTCATGATTTTCGTCGCATTCGATAATTGAAGACGGGTATGCATCATTGAAAAGACAATTTTCAGAGATATCACCTGATTCGAACTTGTACATGACAAAAACCAATCCAAATTGTGGTGTTTTAAACAAGGCATTGAAAGAATGTGACAAAAAAAAAGTGCTAGAACAAATGGATGGATCAAAATCGAGCTGGTTTACACAATTTGATTTTAACAGTATCAAAGATTAAACTGGTGCTGGATTGCAAAGATAAGATATTCATTTGAGTACATGCCGCTTATTTACATGAATTTCATGATAAAGGAGAAGTTTCTCATTGGAAAAGTTTCTCTAGACTATTTGAGAAAAATACACAGATCAAACAGAGTGAATTAGTATTTAAGAGAATAAATAAAAATGGTTCAAGAACAACATTCGTACCAACAACACCGACTCTTTCAGTTTTGTATCTAATAGATATTAATGATATTTTGTGTTGTACTTTCATGACCAAATGTACCAAAACTAGATGGCTATCTGAATATTAGAGACAGAATTAATGAATTTTATTCTCCAAATGATAGCAAATAGTCCCATAAGTAATGGCTAATATTGTTTAGTGGTACCACTGTGTTCAATTTACTGAACACGGTGGCGATTAGTAAGTTCTAGCCCATTTTCTAGATGGTGAAGCCAACCAAATCATTGTCGATAAAATTTTCTTTACAGTTAAATCAAAACAGTAACTTCTCCAAATATAGAGGTGATAATTAGAATTGAAATAAAGCGATGTTGAACAAGGGCTCTAAAGAGTCAAATTTTCACGATAAACAAAAATTGCAACAGAGTTTTTATCTTAGAAAGGTGTGCAGAAATGACTCTTTGTCAAAGATTTCAATTAGTTTATTACAATTCTTCTTATTCTAAGAGAATTTGAGAGTTTTGATTGGGATAAAACAAAATAAAAATAACTGCATTTATTTCTGAGTAACGTTTTCCACTCTACAGACCTCTCATTTTGTAGTCTTATCGATATAGATACCCGAAATAAAGTATGCATCACATATTTGTTCATACGAATACAATCAAAATTCGATTTCGGATAAAAGAAATTTCGCTCATTCTTGTATCGATAACTATTTTCTAGAAAAGCGATGATCAGTTAGTGGAAATAATTTAATTATGGAAAAAAAATATTATTTGGGTTTCTTTTCTAAGGCACTAATTTATTGTTCTGACTTGAATTTGACTAGACATCTTTAAGCAACAAACGAGATGAGCTCTACTTTTGAAAATTTAATGTTGTCTTCATGTCCACATCGAATACATTAGTTTTGTCGAATAAGAATATGCATCCACGCACACTGCTTCAGTTTTTTGGATTCGGTATGAATAGCTGAACTATTCTTGTAATTTGTAATTTGCTGAAGTTTATCCTATGGAATAATTTCACATTTTTATGACTTGTTTCAAAAATGAGAAATGGTGGATTAAATAGTTCATGTACCATTAGATTTTAATTGATTGTGTGACAATAAGATAATACAGATCAAATTTTTTCTTGACTTTCTTGCTGAAGAATAGATATTCCTTTTACGCGAGGCACTTTTACAGAATGCGAATTGTTCGTTCAAATCTCTTATAGAGTATGATGATACACACTTAGAGACTACTCAAGACTTCACTGTCAAACAATACCTACCAGTCAATGTGTATGCTTTTTTTTCGATTGAATGTTCTCAGCAAGTTCGTATTTATTTTGAAAAAGTAAAAAAGAAGAGTCATTGAACATATGACGTTTTTTTTATAACTACGTTTTTGACATCTATGGCCATTTATTTGAAGTAAAGGTTCTTAAAAATGATTTGTTTATGACGCGTTCTTTGAGTATTTTCACAGTAACAGTCCGATTTTCTTTCATGTCACGTACGAATGATTCAGGTGTACATATGGTACCTAGCCCTTCGACGAGATTGGATAATCCTTCAAGAGATTTCGTTGCTCCAATGTCCATATCACAGATGTGTTAGTAACATGCATAATTCCAAACATACTTGACGCATTTATGTACCACGTGGCAGCAATGGTAAAGATCCAAAAAATGTCCACTTTATGAAAAGTCCCATGAATATATGTGAGACTTGATATATCTCATGAAATGTCATATATATATACATGAATATACTATGTATATGTTGTGCCGAAGTTGTTAACAACTTCGACAAACATTTTTTATCGAAGTTACGACTTCGGCACGG